GTAGTTTTCCTTGGCTCCCAACTGCCAGGATACCTTTCCATCTGAGCTGTACCGCTTACACGTGGGTCTACCTTTTACATTGCTGACTCAAGGCTGCACTGTTGTGTTGTACCCTCAAATGTGCAGATTTTAATTGTGATGTGACCCAAACTATCTCATTTTTCTTTTGTTGTGTACTTTTGGCCCTATTCATAAAATCATTGCCAAGCCTAACATCATATCATTTTCCTCCACTTTTTATTCTAATCATTTTTATAGTTTTAGGTTTCAATTTACATTTTAACCTCCCTTAATATTTGCCTCTGGTATACAAGAAAGACTTAACCCCCGTGTTTTGCATGCGGATATCCGGTCTTCCCAACATGATGTTGAAAAGACTGTCATTGCTTATTGAATGGGTTTTGGTCCCCTTGTCAAACTGTGGGACTCTATGTGTGCAGTCTTATTTCTGGACTTCACAAACGCTAGTGTTTGAGTTTATTTGGGGGTCAGGTGATAACTGAGAGGTCAAGGTGCACACTGGCATGAGCACCTCGTGTGAATGGCCCATGGAGTGATGCTCTGCTCCAATCCTTCACCTACCGAGAGGGATCTCCTGCAGATCTCTTCCAAGGAGCTCAGATTCCACCTGTGACTGTTCGGATGGACGGTGAGGATGCTGAATGGGGCTGAGGTTCTGTGAGCAGAGCCCTTACATGTAGCAGGAGGTGATTCATGTGAAGCTATGGGAGGCACCACTGACAGGACCTTGGGTGCTAGACAGTAGGTTCTCTAGAAAGGATGTTGTTAGGCTTTGGCTGGGTAGCACGTGATGACATTTCTTCTTGTGGGGCCCCCAAAAGGGTCTTAAAATAAATATAATAGGGATGGCTTAAATGATGTGCTCAAAGGCTGGTGACCACTGGTGGCTAAACCCACCTGAGCCAATGGGCATCCATTCTGAACTGTCAGCATCTGAGAACAAGGGTCTATCCATGCTCATTGCAGTATCCTCTGTGTCCAGCCCAGTTTCTCACAAATAGATGCTTAATAAATATTTGTTGGGTTGACCATAAAGCAGGGAAACAGAAATGACCGTATCAAGTAAGAAAGTCCCTTTTCACTGCTAGAGAGGGTTTCTTGGGATTAATAAAATAATAACAATAATAATTTATTATTTAAATAATTTTAATATTTAAAACAATTAATAATTATAATCAGACTATTAGTTACTAATAATATAATTATTAACATGATAATTATTAATTATAAATAACCAATGCTTTAATTTTAAATTAATAATAATTTAAAATTATTATTATTACTGTTATTCTAGTTCTTGGAATCAAACCCAGGGCCTCAAGTGCAGTGTACAAGTACTATATCACTGAACTACATTTTCACATCCTCAGCCCTAACTTATACTGTAAGATTTCATTTCTCTTCTCAAAGTAGACAAAAATCTTAATCACCATCTGTATTAGTCATGCTTCACCAGAGGCGGAACCAATGTCACACACACACACACACACACACACACACACACACACACACACCCCAAATAGTAGCACACACCATGAAGGGATTCAGGATACATCAGAGGAGTTGGCTCACGTGATTATGAAGGCAGAACACTCCGACAGCCAGCAGCCTGCAAGGTGGAGCCCCAGGGGAGTGGATGATGGAACTTTCGGCCCAAGGTTGATGGTGGCCTGAGAATTGAGGAGCTGCAGACACAAGTCCCAGAGTCCCAGTCTAGACATCCTAGAATTCTGACAGAAGAGTTCTCTCTAGAAGAAGGAGCTGGCCTTTCCTCTGCCTGTTTAATTCTGTCTGGGCCCCCAGCTGATGGAGCCTTCCCACACTGAGGGCCAGTCTTCCCTGTTCAGTCCACTGAGTCATGCACCGACCTCCTTCAGAAGCACCCTCACCCCCACACTGAGAGACAAGGAGTTGCCAGCTCTCTAAATACTCCTTAGTCTAGTCGAGTTAAAACCTAGAATTAACCATCACACCATTCTCCATAAAAACAAAAACGCGATTCAGTCATGTAAGCCCTTATATGAGCAGTTTTTAAGAAGTGGTCACCTCCTGGATCGTGATTGGTCCTTACCCTAGTGTGCAGGCAGGCAGGGTCTTCATTGGTCTGGAGATACTATGTGTCTTGCTTAAGGTCACACACAGCAGCAGCGAAGTCAGGATTTCTACCTCCCGGGGCCCCACACTTCTTCCGAGAGCTCTTTTTTCTTCTTTCTACCTCAGAGTCGGCCCTTTCCCCAGCATGCTTTCCTTTTAGGGTAAATAAGCACATTTTCTCCAGTCTCTAATCATGACTCTGATAAACAAACCATTAATAATAATCTTGTATCTGTCTCTAGCTTTCCTCCCTGTTCTACAAGTTTGGCACTAACCAGCATTTAAAATATCATCTAGTGAAACACACACACACACACACACACACACACACACACACGCACGCACGCACGCACGCACGCACGCACGCACGCACACACAAATACACACATATATGTACATGCATATACACACATACATACACACACTGTTGTTTTGAGACAGGCAGGTCTTGAACTCGTGATCCTCCTGCCCCAGACTGGTCTCTTAGCTCAGATAATTTGGACCCTGGTCTAGAGCCGGTCATTTGTACAGAGCTGACAGGCAGGGCAGCGCTGCCTGCTGGAGCCCTCGCCCTTTCACCTGACATCTCAGCAAAGGTTTTCCGGCAGCGGGGTTCCCTGAATGTGCCCCTGGTTATGACTTGGGTGCCCATTGTGTTTGCAGTTCTGTATCCTAACAGCCCGCAGAGTCCTCCCATCTCTAAGACACAGGGTGACAGCCGAGTGGTGACTTCAGCTTAGAAGTCAACACTGAAGAGTATGATAGTGCATCTCCCTGAGCAGACTCCTCAGCAAAAGTAAGAAGGAGGAAGCGGGGGTGGGGGGTGGGGGGGTGGAATTGAGTGGAGGAGAAGGAAAGGGGGAGAGGGAGAGGAAGGGGAGGGGAGAGAGAAGGGGAGGGCCGGGAAAGGCAGAGCGAGAGCATTCCGAACTCCTCAGTGTGTGGGGGTTGCTGGTACTCGGCATGGGGAGGGAGACTGAAGGCTGGGCTCCTGTCCTCTTCACTCCGAGGGGAGGAGAGACGCCTCGTCTAACGTGAGAACATGGGACTTGAGTCTCACCCTCTCTTTCTCATGGAACAGTGTGCTCTGTAATTGGCTTCACATGAGTCCAGGCCTGTGACTGGCTGGCCAGGGGTCCCGATTCTGCGGTTGAGTGTTAGGAAGTATTAGCAACTGTTTCCATGTATCCTACGTAATTATTAGCAATAGCTCTGATGTTCTAGCTCACTTTCTGTCGCTGTGGGAAAACACTGACCAAACCAACTTGGAGGAGAAAAGGGTTTTGGCTTACATTTCGCCATCACACTCCATCCCTGAGGGAAGTCGGGGCAGGAGTTCAGGTGGGACCCTGGAGGCAGGAGCTGAAGCAGAGGGAGGACGCTGCTGACAGGCTTGCTCAGCCTGCTTTCTTAGCCAAGCCAGGACCACCAGCCCAGGGGTGGCACCACCCACAGTGGTCTTGATCTTTCCTCATCAATCATTAATCAAGAAAATGCCCTACAGACACGCCACAGGCCAATCTGATGGAGGCGATTCTGCAGCTGGGGTTCGTTCTTTGACTTGCGTCAAGCTGACAGAAACTGACCAGCACAATCAGAATGTGAGCCTTACTCTCTTCACTGAGTCTTAGTAGGTCTCTGTGATGCGAAAAGTAGGCAGGAAATACAGACGCTAATTTCCGCTCCTCTCTGAAGACTCACCAGACGATGGGGACTCCACCACGTGGTCTTGACTATGGGTTATCCTGGGCTATTCACTCACTTACCCTCCATTGACTTCCTTACAGAGGGATAGAAGATTTTAAGTCACTTGGCCATTTTATTCTCTCTGATTCCTAACCCGTTTCCCAGGAAATAGCAATCTGGCTTTTCTCCTTCACTGGGCCTGAGGATTTTCTGGTTTGGCCAACGACTTCTTCCCATTCCTCTGAATATATCTGATCTATGTCTTCCTAGATTCAGGAATCAATGACTCATGACTTTGACTTGTCATGGTGGAAAACAAACCAACCACAAGCCTAAGAACTCTGGGATGGTAAGTAAGCATCAGATAAAGGGAAGCCTCTATCCTATACATTACCAAGATCAAAATACCCTACTCACCATTTCTGTAGAATCATAAAATCCAGGGAAACAGAAGAAACCTTATGCCCCTGCATGCTTCCTAACTCTGGCTCGGTTACATCTCTTTTTGGTCTTTTTCAAGCTCAGGCAGGGGCGTTTAAGGACAAAGTTCAGATCCGGGAAACTCAGGAGACACTCTTGCTACAATCAGTCTTCCCTGACCTTGCATTTCCCTGGAGCAACATTTAGCTGATCTGTGACCCCACCCCACCCCCACCCCCACGGCATGGGCCACTAGTTATAGTGACCTCCTCCTTATCACTCTACTAATAGGGCATGCTTTTTCGCCTGGACTTTGCCTATGCCGTGAGCTCTGCCTTTGGCTCAACCTCCCTGAATATGGTACTTATTTGCCATAGTACTATATACTGTAGATCAAATCCTGAAGAAAGACACTGCCCACCATCGACAGAGTTGAGCCCTCGGATTTGCTGCTCAGTTTTCTACTTCCATCCCACCCATCACTCAACTTTCCCATCCCAAACATCTAATGTAAAAAGAGCCTAAGTATTAATCCGTGACTATAGGCTTCAGCACATCTCTTTGGAAAGTTACCAACACAATAACTGTTAATACAACTCCTCAAGTAGGCTGAACCAACCAACCTTCCTTCTTTCTCCTTTCTTTCTTTCTTTCTTTCTTTCTTTCTTTCTTTCTTTCTTTCTTTCTTTCTTTCTTTCTTTCTTTCTTTCATCTTTCTTTCCCTTCCTTCCTTCCTTCCTTCCTTCCTTTCCTTCCTACCTTTCTTTCTTTTTCCTTTCTTTCTAATTATTTTTACTCCTTTTAGATTTATTTATTTTATTTTATGTGAGCGTTTCGCTTGCGTTTTTGTCTGAGCACCGCCACATGTGCACAAGCGGGTCAGAGGGGGTCAGATCCCCTGAAACTGGAGTTACTGATGCTTGTGAGCCACCAAGTGGGTTCTGGGAATCCAACCTGGGTCGTCTGCAAGGACAAGTGTTCTTAACCACTACGGACCACCCCTGCCCCGAGTAATTCCTCTTCACAGGTAAACACAATCACAGAATATCGTATGACTGGAATAAAACGTAATATAAGTGGGCCACAGCAAAGGAAGTACAGATGGTTTTAAAAACTTACATGAAGGAAGAAAATGTTCAGTCACACAATCAACTAGGTTTCATGACCTCAGGGACTTGGACCACAAGGCCACCCCAGTCATAGATCTTTGGTGTTCCAATCCCCACCCCAGGCCAGGCCACGGGCAGGAGCTGGAGCAGGGGTGAGGCCTGCATGGTGTCAGGCCAGAAGACTGCGAAGAGGTCCTGCATTGTTCTTGGGACCCTCCTTTGCGCTTCTGACCAGCTTCTTCTCACCCCCTGGCGGACAAACAGCTCTACCAAATGTGTTCTAAGGAGCTAAAGCCAGGGCAGGAGCAGCGTAGACAGAGCACGCGCCCGGTGTGCCGAAATCCACGGCCCAAGTAGATGTCAATAATACGTTCAGTTACTCTGTGTCAATTAGAAATACAAATGTATACTTTTTTTTAAAGTCAAAACTAAATGACTATACATCTAAACCTGGAAGAACGGGGAAAAACAAAACAAAATCCCCACAAAACAATGAGGGGAGGCTACCTTGTTTACCCAGGGGATGCACAGAACCTAATTCTCACTTGGGCACAGGGCTGCTGGGCGCAGGCTCCTGGCACCGGAGATGGCAAACAGGTCCCCGATGAACCACTGGAAAGGCCAGCGAGGAATGAGCAGCAGCTGGAATGAAAGTCTGTCTCCGTGGCTGGTTCTTCTCCCTCTGAAAGAGAAGATCTGCAAAGCATTTCCTTGCACTGTTGGGCAGGGTGAGCGGCACCTGGAGGGTGAGTTAGGATGGGAAGGCGGACCAGAACTGGAGGAAAACAAGCCGCTTCTAATGAAGCTTTGTCTCTTAATCTCTAGAGCCCGAGCATTCTATTAGGAAAGAGAGCTGCAGATGAGGAGAGTGGGTGATTAAGGACACACCCAGGTGAGGACGAGGAGACACACACCTTTCCTTTCCGGATTTCCGAATCTTACTTTTCATTTGGACTAAGAAAGGAAGAAAAAGAAAAAAAAAAAAACCCACCTATCTTTTAGAAATTCAAAGTGGATTGTATGTATTAAAATAAATGAGGACGGTGAGGGAAGAACTAGGAGAAAGGAGGAAAGCAATTATTCTTGGAGGCAGAAATGTTTCTCTTGCCTCAGTGCCGTGTGCTATGCTGGCAATTTCAGCCATTTTCTCTCAGGTAATTTTCAGCACTGAGTGCCGGAGCTGCCCAGGGAGGCTGCGCTCTGGCTCACCTGCAGGAGCTGCCCACAGCTCACGAGGGATGGAGAGGGACCATTCTGTCAGGCAGAAAGGGCCTCAGGAGGGAGACACATTACTCCAAGGAGGCAGAAATCAAGAAATGAGGCAGCAGGTTGCATGGTGTTGCTTGTGCTAAGTACAGAACATTAAAAAAAAAAAAAATTAAAACCCACTAATACAATCAACTCAACAGCATTAATCTTAGGAAGTCACAGTTTAGCAGATTTCCCCAGGGAGAAAGCCTTAAAAGCCTGGAGTGTGGGTGAGTACACCCTCTCACTGTGGTTTTTTAAACAACCATACTTGATATATAAAGATTAACTGAGGAAAAATTAATTTCTTCTTCTTTTTCTCTTTGCAATGAACAAGGAAGTGTCTCCAAAAGGAACAAAAGGTTGAGAACATTGCCGGGAAAAAAAAAGTTTTTTTTTTTTTTTTTTTTTTTTCAAGACAGGGTTCCCGATGCAGCCCTGGCTATCCTGGAACTCAATCCATCTGTTTGTGCCTCCCAAGTGCTGGGATTAAAGGCGTGCGCCACCACCGCCCGGCAGCGGTGGGAAATTTTTATAAGTATGACACAATTCACATTTCTCCTGGTGCCAGTCACATCAGCCCACAAAGAAGAAATGAGATTGGGGCTTGTTAGGGGGCGTCAAAAGCTCGGGAAGCAGAGCCAGGCGGATCTCTGTGAGTTCGAGGCCAGCCTGGACTAGGACAGGCAACCAAAACTACACAGAGAAACCCTGTCTTGAAAAATCAAAAAAAGAAAAAAAAAAAAAAAAGCTCATGTTCTTGTAACATCTGAGAGCAAAGCACTGTGGTCCCCCCGCCCCCCATCCTTGCTCTACTTAGTGGCTGCCTACTAGAGAAAATCAAAGTTAAGACACAGAACACTGAGATACCAAGCTCAGGGACCCGGCGACTGCTTCCAGTCCGGCATGGATTCCCCACCTCTTTATACAATGCTCACGTGCCTCTAACCCAGTGGTCCTCAACCTTCCCCTACCCCGCAGCCCTTTAATCCGGTTCCTCACGTTGTGCTGACCCCCAACCATAACATGATTTTTGTTGCTACTTCATAACTGTCATTTTGCTACTGTTATGAATCACAATGTAAAGAGCTGTGTTGCCGATGGTCTTAGGTGATCGCTGTGAAAAAGGTCGTCCGTCCTCCCCAGGGGTCGAGACTCACAGGTTGAGAACCGCTGGCCTGGCCGTTCCTTGCTGGGGGTTAAGTGGTTGTGAAACCGCAGGCAACGGGGAATCAGAGGCTGTTGTTTTAAGCTCTTGGCCAAGTCGTGGCTCCCGTCGCCTGCCTCCGACAGCTCCGGCGGCGGCAGCTGAGGGTCGGCTGTCTTTGGCCATCTGGAGGTTTTAACGTGTTCCATCCATCTCACGCCAATCCGCTGTGCCAGAGTCCCGGTCACTGTGCTCAAGCCCTCTGACGTGGTGTGCGGGGAGCTGTGCTGTGGCCTCCCGCATCCATCCTCCTTTGCAGGTGCCCTTCCGCCTTTTCCGGCTGGTGCTATTTTTCTTGCCCTCCGCAGGCTCTCACCTGCAGAGCTATTATTACTTGCTTGTTGCCGCATGTTGCTGATTCATACTCATAGGAAAAGTAATTTTGTCTCCAACACCTCTTCCCTGTCATTTAAGGCATATGTTAATGAAAGGCAGATTCTGGCATCCACTCTCCTCTATAGCTCTGAGGCCACACTATGGATTCATTAAAAATGAAGATGCAAGTGTTATTTCACTTCTATTTATATCTGTAACCATACCGAAGCCAGCTTGCAGGGAACCTTTGTGCCTTTCAAATCCCAGACCATATTCCAAGAAAGGATCCACATTTCGTGTTTGAATTGGCATTAATGTGGCATTCATGTACATACAATGTTTTCAATAAAGATGTTTCAGGCATGTTTTATTACTGGCACCTCCTGATTTTACAGATTTTTAGGTTACAGAACAGCCGAATCCCTCTGAGGATGTTTTAAGGGCTTTCCCCTTCCTTGAAGCATGGAATATTTCATTTTATTTTTGTTCCTTTTAACTTTAAACTGAGGAGTATGCAAGTGGTGTGCTCTCTGCAAGGAGGCTTGCCAAGTGCAAGGCCCAGCTGAGCCTGCGGGGTGAGGTGGGGGTGGGGGGGTGGGAGTGAGGGAGGTGGGGGTGGGGTGGGGGCAGAGCTGAGCGGACTCAGAGAGCTGAAGAGAACCGATTGAGGAGGCCCTTGTGCTTTGCCATTCCTCACGGGTCCTCTCCCTTCCTTCCTTTCCATTTTATAACTGCGGACAAGTGCGACCTACTTGTTTCACAGAACAACTGGATCTCCAAAGAGCAGGAACCTGGAGGGTCCTCGGAGCCGAACTCCCACGAGCCCTGCAGCGGATTCAGAAGCCTCTTCTCCAGCATCTTTCCCAGCAGCCCTGGAGCCCACAAACGAGGTTTTCGGAGTCCGGCCATTCCAGGTCTACAGTCAACACCTCTCATATCCTGGGCAAGTCAGTCACCTAGCATTTCAGAGCCCCAGTCTCATCTGCTAAATGGCCCTGACAACAGCTAATTCATAGGCTCTTGGGAACCAAATAAGCACCTGCTGTATACATAATCAGCACTCAGAGCTGAATGGAGAGAAGCGAAGTGGTTCAATGGGACCTGGAACCCATGCTTTTCTAGGAGACACTTTTCCATAGCATTGTACTGTCTTTCTCTCACAATGTCTCAAAAACCACCGGAAAGGTATCTGTTGAATGCTGCACACGCTACCTTGTAGACTGTAAGCGATGTTATTAATAACAATACCTCACACATTCAGTGCTCTGGAATTTACAGTATGCTTTCTTTCACAAGGGGGAAAGTACCCCCGCCAACGTGTAGTCTCCTGATGACTAACGGGCAGGCGGGCAGGAGGAGGAGAGGCTTTGAAAGAGCTCTATTAGCGATGCAAATGTGAAGTCATCTGCCCTTGTGAGGAGCATAATAAACATCAGAATCAATTAGCTAACGAAGCTGATATATTCAGGTCCCCATGAGCTGGAAAACCATAGACATGGAGGGAAGCAGTTCTGGGAGAGAAGGAAACCATGGGGATGGCTCAGATGACTCTGGGTTATGTCCCCAGGAAAGCAGTTATTTGCATATGGGTGAATTTTCACCTAGCAACTAGAGTGCAGCGACGATTTACAAGCACTTCATGGTAGGAACCCGGATGTGTGCACAGTTTGGAACCCAAACAAGTGGTTAGCAGAAGTCAATGGCAACTGAGGAGGATTTCGATAGGACACTTACAACATCGGAAACCCCAAATCTTCCACCTCTCCACCTTCCCAAGCGGATCCTCCTGGGAGAGTGTTCCCAGGTGGACAGTGTTCCAAAGTGACTTTCAGAATTGGAGAAAACAGAGCGTGCTCTTTTAATCTATTTCATTGTTTCCCTCGTGTAAGAAGATGAAGGAATACACCTTTTTCTGTTAGAGGGAAAATGGACTCTCTGAAATGCGGCTCCCTCAGAAATGGATTTTTAAATTATCAGCCTCTGTTAACCACGGTCCTAGCTTTATGAATGTGAGGGGAATTAGAATTCCACGCAGTTATCAGCTATTTTAAGCTAATACTCAGATACATTTGTGACACCTCATGATTTCTCGGTGTCTACAGGCAAAACTCCCCACAGCCCCTTCCCTTGGCTGTCTCTGCTTCTATCTGCATTTCTGTCTGGCAGCAAACCTGAGGAACGACGCTCAGGCAGGTAGGCTGAGTGGAAAAAGGACCGATCAGAACACAGAAGACAGTGGGGGGTGGGGCCGCCGTGGCGATGTTCAAAGATGGGGAGATCTGTGCTGGAGAGAGCCCAAGAAAGCCCAGTTTGTGTCTCTGAGTCCAAATTTGGTTGATGTATTTTTGAAGCTTTTAAAGGTTAACTCACATGCTGTAATACATTATAGAAAGATATGAAGCTGAATTTTACTGTGCCAGTCAAGAGGCTGGCTTGAATCTGCTATTTAGAACTGAGAGAGACAGTACAATTTACATGTGTGAGAATGTGCGAATAATTTTACCTTCTGTTGTTTTTAAAAACCACCTTGGGCCATGGTTTTTAAATGGAGACATGAGAAGATCTGTTGGGGTTCCCATAGCAACATTAACTTATCTAAACTGCCCTGTTGTATATAATACTTTCATGACTGTTTTGGCTTTTAAATGTAGACTTTAATTATGAAATACAAGCGAGTTAAGAGTCTTGGGCAAATTCTGACTCTTCCATTTACTGATGTGTGCCCATTTCAACAGAAACCTTGAGAGCTGTACTTCTGAGAACTTGCCACCAAAGGCAAATGTATTCCAAAATCAGCCTGTGGTTTTCCTCACCACTGATCGTTGGCCTCACCCATTTTATATGCCATAGACAAGTCTTCAACAAATCTCTCTAAACATGCTTGTAGAACACCATGGCCGGAAGGAACCAGCTTGGATGGCTCCTGTCTGGAGACTGGATGCCTCATCCTCACAGTGCTGGTCTGTTCACAAGCTGCCTCGCTCCAGTTCTCGCCACCATTGCTCATTACTGTCCTAGGCAGGCTGATCTCATTCGAACACTCTGAGAACAGTCAAAGATGAGCTGAGGCCCAGCTCCTCCCAGAGGCTCCATTCGGCTCCATCCCTCCCCACTCCCCCCCCTCAGCTATCTCTCCTTAGAAGGGTGACCCTGCCACCTGCACTGTGTGGGATGATGATGATGACTGAGCGTCTGTGCTCAAGCCTGTTCCTTGAGGCACTTGGCCTGACTCCATGCGTTCTGGGGATACCATCAATTAAGCTCTTCTGCCACAGTCTGCTATGAGGTCAACCTGTTATCAAACTTGGGGTTACAGTCTGTGCTCCAAGTTAGGTCTGGTCATCCGTCCTCAATAAGTCAATTAAAAGAGCCAAACTTACTGGGCGGTGGTGGTGCACGCCTTTAATTCTGTCTCTAGGGAGGCAGAGGCAGGCGGATCTCTGAGTCTGAGGCCAGTCTGGTCTATAGAGGGAGGGCTACAGAGTATGACCCTGTCTCAAACAAAACAAAACAAAACAAACAATCAGGAAAAAAAAAAAAGCCAAACTAAGAAGGAAACTGGAAAAAGATTTACTCGATGTAGTCACAGCAAAAGAGGGGCAGAGACACTAAGAAACCCCATGTTGGTCTAAATCTTCCAAAATGAGATTGAAGTTTAAATACAGACCCTAGGACAGGCACATCTAAGCAGTCTCATCAAGGTGTGAGCCTGCACACCGCTGACACACCCTTGTCTGGACTTCAGTCTTGTCCTGTAGGGTGCTGTGATGAGTTGTTAGAACTATGTAGAATCTCCTTCTGGCAGGTAAGTCCCCCCCTGTGGCTGATGCCTGCTGTGGGATGGTTTTTCTTTATGCTGTGAATATGTGTTGCTACCATTGGTTAATAAATAAGCTGCTTTGGTCTATGGCAAGGCAGCTTAGAGGCAGGTGGGAAAGTCAAGCAGAGATACAGAGTCAGAGGAGAAGCTGAGCGCTGCCGGGAGAGCAAGATGTAATAGAACACAGGTAACGCCATGAAGCCATGTGGCAGAACACAGATTAACAGAAATGGGCTGAATTAAGTAGCAATAAGCCTGAGGCCACAGACCAAACAGTTTGTAATTAAATATAAGCTTCTGTGTGTTTCCTTGGGACCAAGCGGCTGCGGGACACAGGAAAACTTCCTGTACAGATGCCCTTTCCTTCAGCCCAGCATGAGATTCCTGGGGTGAGTTCCACTTCTCCAGGGTCCACTGTTTCAATGGTCTGATAGTCAGATTGAAAGACACAAGTGCATCTTGGGAATATCTTCATTTCTGTTGGGTTACAAACCCAAAATCCCAAATGGACTCATCACATTCTTCTAGGAAACCAAATTCTAAGGGATTTCAAAAGTCTCACACCTGGAAATCTGAGCACCCTGGAGGCCAGGCCAGCAGGATCATGGCCTGTGTTGAGGCTAGCCTGGGCCATGAGTCAAATTGTTTCAAACAAGCAAACAAATAAGAAAAACTTTTGGACCTGGATTTTTTCCAGACCGCTGCTTTCAGAACTGTGCATCTCCTCTGGGTAAGTCCCTCATCTGCTCATTGTCTGGATCTGAGTTTACAGAGACCAGCCCTTGGATAGCACCACTTTGATAGCACATCCTCAGCACTCTATTTAAACTTTGATCTCACTTCAGAACCCCAAAGACTGGACTTAGAGAGGTCCCCTGGATCCCTCTGTCCCTCTTCCCAATGTGTCCACATTAAGTAAGTTTCCTTTTTCTGCTTTCTACTTTACTTTGATTCTTTTAATTGGCTTGTTGAAGAGGGTAACCAGATCTGAGTTGTGGTACAAGTTGTGGCTCCAAAGTTTGATAATACACAATGGAAACATTCAGTAAACACTGCATAATGAGGGACTTGTTTTAGGAACTCTGTTTTTACAAAGGGCAAATAGCAAGCCAACATACATTCTTTCTGAAGCAAGGGAACAAATACATTTCTAATTGTTAGAAGAATTTTCTTGAATGTATACCTTAGTTTCTGTGATAAAAATACCCTGACCGTGGGCCTAGAGAGATGGCTCAGGGTTTAAAATCACTGTCTGCTCTTCCAGAAGATTCCCAATGGCCATATGACAGCTCTGTCCTGTAGTAGTTTCTTTCCAGATTGAAACATTCATATCTCAGAGTTAAGACATAAAGTAGATAACTCAAGATAGCTCCAGGAAGTCCCTAAAACTGAGTAGATTCACTAGGCCCCTCCCTCCCAAAAGTAAATAGTAAAGAGGAGCCAAGGTGCAAAGAAGCAAAGACCAGGGAGCTGCCTAGAAGAGATTTAGGACAAGTGAGGCCTCTCCAATCTCAGCAGCCTGCAGACTGTGCAGTGTGCTTCAGGTCCAGCGCTGGGAGCTGCTGCTACCCATGCTGGGTGGGCTTTGGTGAACAGCTGTCCTTGAGTCATTTCTACTCCCGTAAGCAACCTCTCACCCATATTCCTGTAAGTGACCCCAATAAAACTCATAGGTTCACTAAGTTGGACTTCGGTAGGTAGTATCCGTACTTTGTTCTGTCATAGGCTCCTTATCTGGGGTGAGTAGACAAGTGTGTGTTGCCTCTGCCCTGGAAGAGTCTGTCATACAACAGTCTCACAGCCACCTCTAACTCTAGGTGCAAAGGATCCAGTGCCTGTGGTGAGTCTTTCTCTGTCCTACCAGGCAGCTCCCAAATCACACTTACTATTATGAAAGTAAAATTTTGAAAAGTATTATGAAAAGTAAATTATGAAAGCTTGGCCTTAGTTTAGGCTTATTCCTAACTAGTTCTATAACTTAAATTAACTCATGCTTTTTTTTTTTTTTTTTTTTTTTTTTTGGTTTTTCAAGACAGGGTTTCTCCATGTAGTTTTGGTGCCTGTCCTGGATCTTGCTCTGTAGACCAGGCTGGCCTCAAACTCACAGAGATCCGCCTGACTCTGCCTCCCGAGTACTGGGATTAAAGGCGTGTGCCACCACCGTCCAGCTAACCCATGCCTTTTAATCTATGTTCTTTTATATGGCTTGGTTACCTTTACTCTGTACTCTCCCCATCCTGCTTCCCCTCCGTCTGGCTGGTGACCCTGATGTTCTTCTTCCCAGCGTTCTGTATGTCTGAAAATCCTGCCTAGCTATTGGCTGTTCGGCTTTTTAGTAAACCAACCAGAGTGACACATCTTCACAGTGTACAAAAAGATTATTCCACACCATTCCCCCTTTTTTTGTCTAAATAAAAAGGAAAGGGTTTAACAGTAAAGCTATATATAACAACAATTATCAGGTAAGAATTACATTCACAAAATTTCATCCATTTGTATTTGGCAATTTTGGAGAAAATACTTTATTATTTATCTTACCTTGGTGAGTTCAAAGTTCTGTACCTAATTAATCTTCTATCATAACTAAGAAAAACTATAACTATGACTATCTAGTCTTCAACTCCATCAAAGACCTCAGAATATAATATTATCTGAGTAAATATGAAGTGAAAGCAAGCAACTTCCAAAACTAAAAGAGATGACAGAGACAGCTGGCTGCCTCGACAGTCACCCAAGGTTCCTCTGTAACATTGGGGCATCCATCTTCAGCCTATAGGCCTAGAATATCTGACAGGCTTTTCTGTGAAGCGGGAACTTTTGAAGGACGTTCTACCCTGTCTTGGCAAAGTTTGGCAGTCACTTTTCTTTGTGTCCTGCTGGTCCAGTTTGGACAGCATACTGTCAGCAGTTGAGACAGGGGCAGTTTCTTGCCCAAATGGCTAACTTTTGCCATAAAGAAAGCAAAATCCTTATGGAGGTTCTTTGATGCCTATCATCCTTTTTTTTGAAGTAAAATGGTGCTGCTAGGAGCAGATGTGTCTCACTGTCATTAAAAGCCCTATGTTAACAAAGCATTTTAAATGTCATATTTTTGCAGGTCTTTGAAGTGTTTGAAGATCACCTATTTATCTAAAATATATCCCTGTACGATCTTGAAAACAGACCTAACATGACTCTGTTTTATAGTTATAGATGACTAGCTATTAACCTCTATTTATTATCCTAAATAGTTTTCAAAGACTAAAACTTTACATAACCTTTTAAAATGAGCTGCATAGGTACAATACCTTAAATAAGAATAGAAACATATATACATAACAAAAATAACATTAATTTGTATTAATATACATAAATCCACACCAATGGAAAATAGTTGAGACTAGTTGTTTAAAAGTAGATTCAACAATCTACCCCTTTATCTCATCATTTCTATACTATACCTCCCTTTTTTCCTTCAGAAAGATATTCTTGAATCTAACTTCTTTGTTTAGCTTTTTTTCCTGACCAAGACCAATAACAACTTATAACCAACCCTCCTAGATGACAAACATCTATAACCAATTGAATGACCAAAAGCCATCCACCCCACCTCTTGGGAATGTGGGCGTTATGTTCTCTAGACTGCTTCCTATTGTCTGGGAGCACTGGCATGTTTAGGAGGCCTTGGGGAAATTGGGATAGTGGTCAAGTCCTGGGAGAGCTAGATGTATTATTTGTTGTCCAGTCTCTGTGCAATGGGAAAGTGCAGGGCTTATCTGAAGTTTAGACTGGAGTATTCTGTGAGGCTGGATCATCTCGGCCAGCAGCCTTGAAGCTGTTCTAGATGCAGAACTCTGAGGAAACTGCAACAGAGGCACTCTGAGAGGCTGGATCACCTGGGCCATCTGTTTTCATTGGTATCTGGTTCCCTTGTTCTGAAAACACATAAACTTTCAAAGGTAACATACATATCTGCATTAACACAAGAATGGAATGTGCAATGTGCATAAGTCAGTTAAAGATGACTTTTTGTTTTATGTTTGAGCAAGTAAAAGGCATCTGTCAACTTCCTAAGTCCATTTGGACTGTATAATCAGATTGTAATATAAATCTCTACCCATGCCATATGAAAGGATGGCGTGTAAAAAATAAGTCATGAGGACTCTGTAGCCAACAAGATTTATCATGTCTCATCTCATCTCAGAGCTGTTCCCATGTCAAGGGATCAGCTTACACACCACCTGTCTGTCCTGTAGTGTTCTTTTTGGCTTCCTCTCCCATGTCTGTAGCCAAGATACTCAGGAGGTCTGCCCCAGTCAAATCTGATCTCTGATCTGGAAGAAATCCACAGCTTTTCGTTTCCGCTCGAAAGAAAAGTATAACCTTTACTCCAATGCAACACATTGTCAGATTTCCATTTTGAAGTTAAGACATTCTTAAAATATATAGGTTGGTTTAATTTAGCAGTTTCCAAGTCCAATGTCTCTCTGCAGCTATAGTTTGTTTATCAGCAATCAGAAAAAAAAAAACTGAAAGACAACACAGTAACATGCAGGATCCAGACTCCCTGTGTATTACCCATCTCTATGTGGCTTATTCTTTATTTTTTATTACTTTACTCTTTAAAGACTTTATTATATTTATTTAGCTAACGTATTTTTATGACTGTCTATATCCTTTTTCTTTTCTTTTTCTTAAGCCTACACACATTGTTAAACACACTGTAACCTGTTTAGAGATTTTTTCAGTCTGAACCTGCTTTACTGAGTATCTGTAACCTTTTCTGTCTGCATGAACACAATTTTAAACCACTGTGCAGCTTAGCTCATGGCTCACTGGCAGCTCAAGCATGCTGGCAAGTCTCTGTACCATGGCCAGCATGAGAGACAGAAGACTAGGACACTGCCTTGGCTCCATTCTTGTGTTTAGAACCTTTTTTTTTTTTTTTTTTTTTTAAAGCTTCCCCAGGTCTTATGTGGATATGTGTGATACCACGGTGGATGCCATTTGTAGTAAGTCTTTCTCTGTCCTGTCAGCCAGCTCTCAAATCATAACACAGAGACTTATGGTTAATTACAAAAGCTTGGCCTTAGCTTAGGCTTGTTCCTAACTAGTTCTATAACTTAAAATAACTCATATCTTTTAATCTACATTCTTTTATGTGGCTCTGTTACCTTTACTCTGTCCTCCTCATCCTGCTTCCTCTCCTTCTGGCTGGTGACTCCCCCTTTTCTCTTCCCAGCCTCCTATATGCCTGAAAATCCTGTGTAGCTATTGGCCATTCAGATTTTTATTAAGCCAATCAGAATGACACATCTTCACAGTGTACAAATTCCACAATAGACATCCTTGGCAGGCAGAGATGCTGATGGCCTCTGCGGGCACTAGGCATGCACACGGTATACTGACATACATTCAGGCAAAACCCATGCATATAAAATAAAAAAAAATATTCCAACAAAAGCAGCTTAGGGGAGAATGGGTTTATTTTAGCTCACAAATCCAGATTACAGTCCACCAGGTTACATTAGGGAAGTCAGGAACATGAAGCAGCTGGTCACATTCACAGTCAAGAGCAGAGAAGAAAGAACACAGGTATGCCAGGGCTCAGCTCATTTTGTTCACTTTTACTCGCTTCAGGATCCAAAACCAAGAGAATGGTACTGTACACAGTAGGCAGGTCTTCCCATATCAATGAACACAGTTAAGACAAAC